TGGTATCCAAAATGCGTAGATCGATGCTCATAATGTCAATCCCTGGATTGTCTACAGATTTACAGACAGTCGTCATGTAGGTTGGATATTTCTGAGTGCGGCGTTAAACAACAAACACTGACAGAGGACACGGAGCTTGCGACAACAGGAAACGTGCGTACTCTTGTTACTGCAACCTCTGCGACTGCCGCTGTTACTCCTCGTTGTAATGGCGACAACCTTTTGTTGTCCCAACCTTTCCTTTATATGATGCAGAACAAAGGATGGATCGAGCAAGTATGTGTCTCCAAATCAATTGCTGCTACTAGCCCGAATGTGCCTCTTAGCTTCATTTTCAGTAGCATTGGATCAGCTGATATTACTTGACCGAACACGATTTTACTAGACTCGGGCCCCGGATTTCCAGCTAAAGCCGCAGACTGAATCATTGTGATTATTGTCTTACATCGATGTTAATAATATTCTAGCCATTATAAAGACGGGACACGGCACAAATAGGCTTTACACATTGTAGCTATGTTACATAGTTTGAAAACTTGATACTTCCTTTGCTTCATACGATGACGATTAATGCATGATACTGTTGCTTTTGATGATTATGATAATGAGCATAACAATTATTTATGATGATAACGCTGACGATAACAATTATTACCACATTATCATGATTACGATGTGAACAATTCGTAAATATTTTTAAAAAAAATCTATGTTGTAAGGGCTCGAACACACACTACTGTGTTGCACACAGGCACACACGTTGATTTACCGCAAACTTGCATCACCCGGTTACCTCCCTTATGCTAAGAAACGTTGCTTATGCTTCGACGTGAATACAAGTTCTATTTGTTGAACATGGCATTTCATTGTGTAAACAGTCTCTATTTAGACATTACAGGAGTACACGGCATATACTTGAGACATTAAATAAGTTTAATTTTATATAACCTTCCCTCCCGTTCTCGTTTCTACTTAGATTCAAGCAATATTCTGAAAATAATCTTGACTGGCGATAACGATAATGCATTACGGTTTATTACTAGGTGTGGAATCGAACCGAACATCTGCGTGACAAGCAAACGCGCGAACCCCTTAACCACACACACTGCCTTATCAAATTACGACATTGATAAGACATGGCTGACGCTCAATGTTTTAAGTTTAGGTAATACAGTAAACTACGGATATAACGAACTCAAAGGGACCACTAATCTTAGTTCGTTATAACCGTAGTAAGTTATAAGCATATATACAGCATAACTACAGCAAATAGGCGGGACAAAAAAGTAAGTTCGCTATATCCGTATGTTTGTTATAAGCGTGTTCGTTATAAACGTAGTTTACTGTAACTCATTCCATTCTTAGGTTCATAAATTGTTTTGATAAAACCTTTCCGGGTATCTTATCTATTTAATTTCCACTTTTAAATTCCGTCTCAAGTGAAAATGGTATCTTAAATGATTTACGGTGCATTCGATACCTTTTGGCAAATATTTTTATTTTTATTTTTATTTTGATACATCCATAATTATTATGGATTATTTTCAAAATAAGACTATCAAGTTTGTCATCTATAGACACAAATATCACACAGTCAATAAACAGGCGGCAGTGAAAATGTCACCGAATACTGTTGATCGTTATATGATACAACCGAATGTCGATGTTCTATCAACGTATCTCCAATTACTATCACCATCGATTGTCGTGAGCAAACTTGTACATGTGAAAAATGTCAAGAGCTAAATATACAACTAAGTAACTAAACACGGTATTATATCGTTCAAAGAATGACCTCGCTCTCTTTACAAAAACATCTCATCAAGTTAGCTCTCTGATGTATGCTCTTCAAAACATCTGAGGGATATTCCTGGTATTTCATAATACAACACACTGACGCCTAATCATGTAGAAGTTACGAGGGATGAGAGAAACTGCTAAAATGAAGAAAAAAACCGAGAATCGAGCTGTGATAAAGTACCTTCAGAAGGAGGGTGTGTAACCAAAGAAGACATTCTATTTGTGCATGCCGATTGTTGGAGCACTATGCTCTATTTGTGAACGTGGGCCCAGGCGGATTGTTGAAGCACTACGTTCTATTTGTGCACGTGGGCCCAGGCGGATTGTTGAAGCACTACGTTCTATTTGTGCACGTGGGCCCAGGCGGATTGTTGAAGCACTATGCTCTATTTGTGAACGTGGGCCCAGGCGGATTGTTGAAGCACTACGTTCTATTTGTGCACGTGGGCCCAGGCGGATTGTTGAAGCACTACGTTCTATTTGTGCATGAGGGCGCATGCAGATTGTTGGACCACTACGTTCTATTTGTGCATGAGGGCGCAGGCGGATTGTTAAAGCACTATGTTCTATTTGTGCATGAGAGCGCAGGCAGATTGTTGGACCACTACGTTCTATTTGTGCATGAGGGTGCAGGCAGATTGTTGGACCACTACGTTCTATTTGTGCATGAGGGCGCAGGCGGATTGTTGAAGCACTATGTTCTATTTGTGCATGAGGGCGCAGGCGGATTGTTGAAGCACTATGTTCTATTTCCGATGTGGGCCCTGGCGGATTTTTGAAGCACTACCCTGTGAGGCTTTTCCGTGAGAAAATATAGAAATTACTAGCAGATCTCAAGCACCCTCCAGACACCCGCCAAATCCTGTGTCCCATCCCCAAAACACCCACCATTCCCTGTGACCCACCCTCCAGACACCCACCCGACCCTGTGACCACCCTCCAGACGTCCACCCCACCCCGTGGCACATCCTACAGACACCCGCCCCACCCTCCAGACATCCGCCCCACCCTGTGTCCCACCCTCCAGACACCCGCCGCACCCTGTGATCCACCCTACAGACACCCACTCCACCCTGTGTCCCACCCTACAGGCACCCGCCCCACCCCGTGGCACATCCTACAGACACCCGACCACCCTGTGTCCCACCCTACAGACACCCGCCCCACCCTGTGATCCACCCTCAAGACACCCACCCCACACTGTGACCCACTCTCCAGACACCCATCTCACCCCGTGACCATCCTCCAGACACCCACCACTCCCCGTGGCACATCCGACAGACACCCGCCCCACCCTGTGATCAATCCTCCAGACTCCCACCCCACCCTGTGATCCACCTTCCAGACACCCACCCCATCCTGTGATCCACCCTCCAGACACCCGCCCCACCCTGCATCCCTGCCCTACAGACACCCACCCCACCCTGTGTCCCACCCTACAGACACCTGCCCAACCCTGTGATCCACCCTCCAGACACCCACCCCACCCTGTGTCCCACGCTCCAGACACCCACCCCATCATGTTACCAACTCTCCAGATACCCACCCTACCCTGTGACCCACCCTCCAGATACCCACCCCACCCTTTAAACCACCCTCCAGACACCAACCCCACCCTTTCCAGACACCCACCCCGCCCTGTCACCCACCCTACAGATACCCACTCTGTCACCCACCCTACAGACACCCACCCTGTCACCCAACCTACAGTCACCCACCCTGTCACCCACCCTACAGACACCAACCCCGCCCTGTCACCCACCCTACAGACACCCACCCTGTCACCCAACCTACAGACACCCACCCTGTCTCCCACCCACACTCGGATGATGTAGGGGCATCCATTCTCTCATCACAACAACAGAAATGAAACGAAGGTTCAAATCGTTTTCAGTGAACATCTACAGAACCATGTACAAAACATAGGACAGAAAACAAAAGTGCAGAAGCATCTACAGGTGAATGATCATTCAGCATACCCGGAACATATATACCTGTGCCCTATCACGTCAGATGCCTACTGGTTTCTTGCCACCCACCCTTGGATCGAATATGTCTCAAACAATTGCGGCAATCAACTTTATCTTGTAGATGTAGGGATATTACCACAAAGCACTGTAAATACTTTACAGTTAACTGCAATATATGTTACGGAAAAGATTTCAAGTATAAGTTATATTTGTGCAAATTGGCATGGTAGATTAAGGGACAATATGTTCTATTTGTGCAAATTGGCATGGTGGATTTAGGGACAATACCATCTATTTGTGCAAATGGGGATGGTGGATTTAGGGACAATACTTTCTATTTATGCAAATTGGCATGGTAGATTAAGGGACAATATGTTCTATTTGTGCAAATTGGCATGGTGGATTTAGGGACAATACCATCTATTTGTGCAAATGGGGATGGATTAAGGGACAATACTTTCTATTTGTGCAAATTGGCATGGTAGATTAAGGGACAATATGTTCTATTTGTGCAAATTGGCATGGTGGATTTAGGGACAATACCATCTATTTGTGCAAATGGGGATGGTGGATCTAGGGACAAAACCATCTATCTGTTCAAATGGGGATGGTGGATTTAGGGACAATACTTTCTATTTGTGCAAATGGGCATGGTGGATTTAGGGACAATACTCCCAGTCTAAGGGGGATGGGCGGAAGGTGGGGCTCCCAGTCTAAGGGGGTCTTCTTAGGGGCTGAAGGTGGACCTCCCAGCCTAAGTGGGACCGGAAGGTGGGGCTCCAAGCCGGTGGGAGGGGGCGGGGGAGGTGGCGCTCCCGGTATAAGGAAGACCGGAAGGTGGGGCTCCAAGTCTAAAGGGGACCGGAAGGTGGGGCTCCCAGTCTAAGGGGGTTGGCCGGAAGGTGGGGCTCCCAGTCTAAGGGGGGCGGGGGGCGGAAGGTGGACCTCCCAGCCTAAGTGGGACCGGAAGGTGGGGCTCCAAGCCGGTGGGAGAGGGCGGGGGAGGTGGTGCTCCCGGTTTAAGGAAGACCGGAAGGTGGGGCTCCAAGTCTAAAGGGGACCGGAAGGTGGGGCTCCCGGTGTAAGGGGGACCCGAACCAAACATGCACACACACACACACATCATATCTGACATTACAACATCTCTGGCATGCATGACAGGTTCTTGTAGTTTAATCCTTTGAGTATATAATTATTGAGGCAATACCAGATACAATGTTTTCTGTCAAATATTGGATTTACAGCTGTCTGTTTCTCCAATGATGGCCTGGAATGCCGCGTTGGTGCTGGTTCCTCTATTAATAGCTCTACATCTGCAAGACTGATATAAGAAGCTACGTTGGTAAGTGTTTTTTAATGGCCAAGATTATCAGAACGTTTTTAACTATCTGTTCCACATCATCCTGAAATAGTTAGCGAATGTTTGTGTGCCAGCGGAGAAAGTGATGACAAGTGAAACTGATGGCTCCGGTTGAAACCTAGCCTCTAACAGTCTCTGTATAAATATTATAACGGAAATAACGTATATTGTTACATAAAACAACCCAACAAACTGCAACAAACAGTTTACATTTCAAACACAGTTCCAGAAAGATGATTTTTTAAGTATTCGGAACACCCATTGGACGAAAAAACATATGTCAGATTTTTAAAAATTCTTGTTTTATATTCGTAGGGGTAATACACGCTGCGACCAGTCTACAAATAGCTATAAGTCGCGGTGATGGACAGCTGGACACGGTCACGAAAAGGTCACGACTACTGAGCAATGAAATATGACATGACTATTTGCCTCCAGCGGGCTTTGAAACATTATATCTATTTGTGCTCTCATTTGACTCTTTCTTAGCGTTATGATCTCGTGGAGTTATGGTGTTGTTATTGTTGTTGTTTTTATGTGGAATGCATATCGCATTATTATCAAGTATATACACAGTTCAAATACACACACACACACACAGAGAGAGAGAGAGAGAGAGAGAGTTAAACATACATACGATACATGTAGTGTCATTCTCATTCTCCATGATGTTGAAGTGTGTATTCAGCGTTGCGTTGTGCTTTGTTGCAAATGTAAATTTTGTTATGAAGATAAAGATGCCTCTTGTTGGCCGTAGTATAAACCGTCCTCAACCGTCGTATAAACAAACCATCCTGTCGTCAACCGTCGTATTAACAAATCACCCGTCCTCAACCGTCGTATAAACAAACCACCCATCCTCAACCGTCGTATGAACAAACCACCCGTCCTCAACCGTTGTACTAACAAACCACTCCGCCGTCAGCCGTCGTATTTACAAACCACGCTGTAGTCATCCGTCGTATAAACAAACCACCCAGTCGTCAACAGTCGTATAAACAAAGCACCCAGTCGTCAACAGTGGTATTAACAAACCACCCTGTCGTCAGCTGTCGTATAAACAAACCACCCATCCTCAACCGTCGTATGAACAAACCACCCGTCCTCAACCGTTGTACTAACAAACCACTCCGCCGTCAGCCGTCGTATTTACAAACCACGCTGTAGTCATCCGTCGTATAAACAAACCACCCAGTCGTCAACAGTCGTATAAACAAAGCACCCAGTCGTCAACAGTCGTATTAACAAACCACCCTGTCGTCAGCTGTCGTATAAACAAACCACCCGTCCTAAACCGCCGTATAAACAAACCACCCGTCCTAAATCGTCGTATTAACAAACCACCCAGTCGTATAAACAAACCCCACCCCCCACCCCCTGTCATGAGCCGTATAAACAAACCACCCTTTCGTCATCCGCCGTATATAAACAAACCACCCAGTCGTCAGCCGTCGTATAATCAAACCAACCTTTCGTCTGCCGCCGTATAAAAACAAACCACCCAGTCGTCAGCCGCCGTATAAACACCTCTATTGTTGGCCGTAGTACCCCTACCTATAGCACGGCATTCTTCAAAATTCCAAATTTCCCCAAAATTAAATAAGCAACCCTAAAGCCACACACACACACACACACACACACACCCACCCAGATTGCCCTTCCTTTTCGGACATACCCTCCTCGGCAAAACCACTAATTGGCCAGGCGGGCCCGTGTGCGAAATATAGTCGGAAAGCGCACGTAAAAACTCTCTCTCTCTCTCTCTCTCTCTCTCTCCATAGTACCACTGACCCTGGGTACACTTGATCTGCACTCTGAAAATAGAACGCCTGGAAAAAAAGAAAATCACTCGTATTGAATTCTCGTCTTCTATTTTAGAATCGACTTTTTAACCATTTAACTGCAATAAGAAATAACTATACATCTTGTTTTCTATTTGACTGTCCGTCCAGTGCTTAAATCAGCTGGACTCTGAGTCTGCGTGTACTGTTACTAATTGTTCCCTTGATAATCAATATATCTGCGTATGTGGTATTGTTGCGAGTTGAAACGAAACACGTGTTAAAATTCCATTTGGCATGCAAACAAAGTGGTAATTAAACGAATTGATTCGAAATTGCTTGGGTCGCCAATCATCCTGGGCCTTGTCTTCCTGAAAAGCCACATGAAACCCACTTTTGGCCGTTTTTTCATCTTACTTCTCAGATTCACAACGACTTCACAAACTATCTTTTGCTACAGTATCAACCGCTATACGTGGACAGGTCGACCTGCACTGCCATTTGACTTTACGAACGTGGTACCTACCAAAATGTACCGAACATGTGAAACTCGTATTCATCAAACCAGTACAAACAGATTAAACCGGTTGTACATGACCCTGATTAATGTTATATTTGTCTTCAGATTATAAATGCAGATAAGTAGGATCTATTTTGGTACCCTTGTGATAAATGCGGGATGTTGTCCATAGAAGTAAAAGTCTAACTATCTGGAGGGTGCATTTATATATGTCCTAAAAACGTGTTTATCAGAGAAGAAAACTCCAAGAAAATAATTAGATAACAAAATTCTAAATTTGGTGTGTTTTTGATCTTTTTATAGTTCGTCTGTTATCAATTTGACGTATTTGTTACCGTGAATAGGAGCGCCTTAGCTACTTCTGTGATTAAGAATAGCAATCATTTTCGTATGACGTCAAACGTCACGTGACGTAGTCGCTGGCAGTGGTAAACAAGATACGTAACGGCCTGGAATATTAAACATATTTTAAGCTCTAAGAAACCCACAGCTGAATAAAAGTTTCAAAGGGAGACAACTACAGAGAATAAGTTACCACATTGAATCTAAGAACCTGTAAAAGCTTTTATGTCTACGACAGGTTAGAGATCAATGAAGCAAACGCCAATTCATGTATCAAAGGGAGGTAATTATTGTAGGGAATTATGTGTCTCAAAATAGACTGCGGCCTGCACTCTAAAATAATCCAATCGATTTCGATGCTTCACTAAACAGCCTCGAAAGAGGAGGTCATTAACTGAGAACGTTCTAGGAAGAAGGTTTGCGTTGCCGATTTATCATCGTTCGCTAATGATGTGATCAAAATAGCCACACTTCTACCAGCGAGGCCTGGGCGCTATAGATCCACCATGCTTCGCCATTCATAATTATATATAGATCGCTGCAGCCATGTCGCGAGTAGGTTAGGGATGACAGAGGCAACAAAGGTGTTCGCGTCTGCAACTGGGTTACATATGGCCGAGCTTGGTACGACACGTTTAGCAATAACTGTCAAGAAAAGGCCTACTTGACCATTCTGGGGTTTGTTGATGTCGATTTAGCGCTACACAGATATTGTTTTGGAATGGAAGTCGCGAATGACGTCAGTGCTACGTTGTTGCGCGGTGACGGTAGAATATGTGTCGCTCGTGCAGCTATTTACGGATATGACATCAGAGAAGCTCTTGCAGCGATGACGCTTGTTTTTCACGTGCAGGATATTTGTCAGGGGGTACTCGACTGGCGGCCTTGGATTTAAGAGAATTTCTATTTCTGGTCGTGTTCTTCATGTCGATGCGTTTTTTCAAGGCGCATTTCTTAATTTCGATCGATTCCTTATTCTTGTGAAAAGGCGGTTCCTGGAGGAGATTTTCAGTGACGAAGATTGTTGATTCTCCCTTAACCCTCTTGATGAATTTCATTTGATATTTTGAGGTTATTTCAATTATTTTTCTAATTCGTCGTTTTTGAGGATAAAAGCCATTATATTGTATAGATTCAATATGGAGACAGTCGTGTGTTTAAATGCGTGGGTATAGGTACGTTAAATGTTGATATACAAAATAAAATAAGGCTGGCAACACCCTTTTGGCACGCGATGGTTATAAACACCACAGGCACACACACACACCACCTTTTTATTGAGCCATGTGTCAATCGCGGGAAAAGGCTACATAGGTCGATTAAAAGATGTTTATTTGTACAACTACGTATTCCAGTGTATTGTCTTTTTGTGTGTGATATTTTAAGGAAAATCTCTTTTGGCAGGCGAACTGGTATGCCATTTTCGTGGGGAGATGCTCGTTTCGTGGGGTCGTGATCGGCACTGACCGGGGACTCCCTCACCGCTGAGAACCCGCGAGGTATCCGAGTAAGAATAGGTCCCCAGCAACTTTTTGAAAAGTGTTTTGTCGCTTTTTTTTATTGTCCCTGAATGGATAAAGCGGGTGATGCAACTCAACTCGTATTTATCTATGCACATGTATTCTTTGGAGATACCGGTCAGTTTCAGAGTATATTAGTGACGATTTGACCTATAGTACTTGTTATTTATTGACAAAAAATGTATATTCCCCTACAAGTTGATTTCGTCGGATGGGAACTTTGCAGACCTACAGAAAAAAATGGAGATTGAAATGCGTATGCTATTTATCGAATGGGCACATTCCCACTGTCTTCATCCGTTGTGAGACGATGGAAAACTCGGAAAATGTCATGAAGTATGCATGTCGTTGTTTTTCCGAGTGCGTGGAGGTCGTTTAATGGAGTGCTTGGTATATGTTTAACTAACCTAACAGAAACATCAAGGAGATTTGTGTGCGAACTCTATTTGGTCTTGGTGGGAAAATTCAACTGTATATGATATACACATTTCTATCTTTTTTTGGTCACACCTCAGATTTTGTCCGCATGCACGCTCGTCTTGAGAACATGTTAAGAGTGAATCCAACTCAAATTTATTTGTTTGTTGTTTTACGCCGCACTCAGCAATGTTCTATAGCTATATGACGACGGTCTGTAAATAATCGAGGCTGGACCAGACAATCCAGTGATTAATATCATGAGCATCGATATACACCATTGGGACACAATGACATGCATCAACCAAGTCAGCGAGCCTGACCACCCGATCCCGTGTGTCGCCTCTTGCGACAAGCATAGTCGCCTTTTACGGCAAGCATGGGTTGATGAAGGCCTATCCTAACCTGGATCTTCACGGGTCCCACGGCGTGTGAGACCTTATACGATCTTCACACACTGTAACCATTTTGGGAATGGAAGCGTGGGTCTTCGTTGGGATGAGCCAAACCTTAAACCAATTGGCTAACTAACCATTCTTCATAAGTAAGCAGAATTAAATGAGTGCAGGACGTTTGAAAATTTAAGAGAGGAACTTGATAAAAAAAAATGTGTGTGAGAATTTGGGAAAACTGGTCAATATTAGTTGTCAGTTGATTTAAATGAATGTGAGGGTATAGAAAAGTTCACATTGAATGGAACTAAATGATCTTTAGCTCAGTGCATATATAGAATAAACAGAAATGATAGACATCAATGAAAATGTTAGTTTAAAGAGAGATTATCGCTTTATGTTACCATGGCAACTACAACTGGTTATTTCGATTCTATAGAAACACGTCATTGTGCCATCAGTGAGAGAAAACTTCCCTGGGCTGCGTTAGAAGTCGTTATAAACTT